AAAAAAAATTAAAAAAAAGGGAGAAATATTATACAAACAAACGGGGGGGGGGGGGGGGGTGTGGCATTGTTTTACAACTCCAATATTCAACAAGTTATTTTGTTTTTATTTCTAATTTTTTTTTTCCTTTTTATAAAATCTAATAAAATGCCATGCACATAATAAAAATGGAAAAATGGGGTCTATTCGGATATCTGAAGTAGGGGATTGCCAGCATTCAGAAATATGTTTAGCTCTAGTGTAATATTATACAAAACTTAGCTTATATATTGGTATGTACTGATTAGTGTATATAAATTATACATACACTGATTATTTTCTCAATAATATATGAATATACAATCATACCTTTCCTCCCTGTTATCCACGGAAAGGGTAACATTTTATTTTAAAAATTCTTTCTACATAAGCTATCTCAAAAATGTGCAGAGGTCAAGAAAGTCAGCCTTTTAAAACTTAAAAATAATATTTATTGTAATTTAAAAAGCCAAATCTAATAGCAAAACCTATGTGAACAACACCACTACATGGGTTAAAATAGATACTTAAGACTATTATTTTTATTTTTTAAAGATTTCTTTATACTTCCCACATGTACTTTAATCTTATATTGAAGTATTTTAATAAAGATTACTTTTTCTCTTTTATTTTGTCTTAAGTTTTTATGCTGGACTTCCAAGCATTCAGTATCTATCTTATTAAAGAATCTATTTGGAAAAGAGTAACTCTTACCAAACCATCAACTTTGTCTTTATTGAGACTGCTCATACTTTCAAACTGCTCTGTGAACTGAGATGATATTAGATTAAATGAGACTTCAAGCTGATTCATTTTAATAGACGTTTCATTATAACTTTGATTGATATTCTCAACACTCTCATTCATCAAAACATTGAGACACTTATTTTCCTCATCTAATCTGTTTAACGTGACATCAATATTTGAGGAAATGTGTCGGTTTAATTTCTCTAGAGCTGTAAGTGTTTCTTGAAAGTGCTTCTTAATTTGCATATTTTCGTTTGTTAATATTTCCAATTTTTTGTTGATGTTTTATTGTTTTTCTTGATTTTGTTCTGTTGTCTTTTTAAGTGAGAATACTGCTTCCTCTAGTATGGCAAATCTCATAGGGGTCATATAAGGAGTATCTACACCTGTATTTAAAAAGAAATTAAATATATTAATTTTATTTTTCAATCAAAGTAGGCCTACTCAAAGGTAGGAAAGTTAATAACTCTTTGTAAATGGTTTCATACTTATTTTCTTATTTTTATCGAGGATGATATGCATATTTTACATAACATCCTTCACACACCAATTCTCTTCTTTTGATGATGACCACACATTACTTTTACATGACATAAATTAAAGTTTAACAATCAGTTGCTAGCAATATAATATTATTGAATTAAAATAAAGTAAATATTACATCATTGAATTCATACAAATGCAAGCCAAAGAAATAAAAACATTTAGGAAGTAACAATTTTTTAACAAAAAAATATTTCACCTGTATTAGGTAGTGTTTTTTCACTACTAAGCTTCATTTTCTCTTGGGGTTCTTCCCTTGTGTGACTCATTTTAGGACTTGTAGAATCATGGCTACTTGCTGAAGTCATTTGATATTGATCACTTTTTTCTCCTTGAACATCAAGATCTGTAAATATGAAATTAAATAATGTTGTTAAAATATTGAATATCCTTCTTGATAATCATTTTGTTCTATTCCGTAAATTAATCAAAGTTATGTGAAAGCAATACTTAAATAAAGTTGTAAAACCAGAATTTTTTTTTTAATGTCTTATAAACTGGCTTTTCTGTAAATCCATCCAAATACTGCTAACATAAAAATTATAAAATTAATTTTTTTATAAATGGCACAAAAATCTGATAAGTAAAATCATTTCTCCTTATATTATGTTAAATATATTAATGTTGTCAATATTCAACTTTTATTTGAAAATATCTTAGATATAAAAATACCTGAAATCGCAACAGTCTTAGCCATAAATGCAGTTATAACTTGCTGAATTCTGTTATTCATCCTGGCACATGTTGATTGATTGACGGGCCCTCCATTAACCCAGGCCTCAACTTCTCTTTGTACCTACATATTAATTGCATCATTTAATCTGCATATAATATACAACTTTATTGTAAGCTTTTTTTTTAATCTAAACAAAACTAAAACACACCCTGGTAAATATAGACTGAAATTTGAAATTTAAAAATAGTTTACAACATTTTATCCAATTTTTACAAATATTTTTATTGTTTAGACAAAAGAAATTTGTGTGTTTTGCAGTGGAGAGATTTTGACAAAATGAAAATACCAGTGATATGGGTGCCACTTAAGATAAAAAAGATGGGTAGCAAAATATTGGTAAGCCATAAGGAATATTTATTTTTGTTTTTAATTATGAAAATATATTTTTTTCTTTTAAACTTGTTCACTTATATTGAATAAACTTAAATGTTCCCCATTGTTCTGATTACTCTAGTGATTTTATGTAATATGGTAATATGGAGTCATTTAACAAACAGTTAGTAATCTACATATTCGGCCTTGCAATGCTGCATTATTTTTATTTACTGCTGTATGTTATTGTATGCGAATACTGAAGAAACTGACCAAATTATAATGCTTAATGTATGTAGCATGAAGATATCACAATCTTATGATACTATTTAAAGTATGTTTGATGTAATTCTTCAATTAAAAAAATATCATCACTGCAGGTACCTATGTTCTTTGATTTTATTTTTTTTATAAATCATCTATATAGACTGGGCTGGGTTCATCTACTTCAGTGGTTCTCAACCTTTCTAGTGCCGCGACCCTTTAATACATTTTCTCATGTCGTAGCGACCCCCAGCCACACAATTATTTTCGTTGCTACTTCATAGCTGTAAGGATATGTGTTTTCATATGGTCTTAAGCGACCCCTGGAAAAGGGTCCCGCGATCCCCAAAGGGGTCACGACCCACAGGTTGAGAACCGCTGATCTACTTGAACAGCGGTGCTTTTTATTTCTTGCAGTGGGTACAACATATTTTTGGTAAACCTCTGATTGCATGCGATACTAATTATTTTACTCTGAAAGTTATTTTTGCTATTAAAATATTCTAACAAAACAATTACCTGATTGACGGCATCATCTACAGTATCTATGACATTTTTTCTCTCTTCCTTTAGTAACTCAAGTTGCTGAATGATAAAGTTTATAAATCTCTGAACTTGTTGGACCTTGCTGGCCATTCTGTGTATCTTAAAATGTTCATAAACACACATTTTAAAATTTAGTAATTATAGCCAAAACGCCATTATACATATAACATGAAGCGTTTGAAAAAAATGTAAAGCTTTACTTGTTATCACCAAAATAAGCAAGGCAATTTTATTTAATATCATTTTTAGAATATTGTGTGCGTAGCCTCCCTCATATTTTTATGCATTAATTTTTTTTTTTAAATTTAGGTATGTCCGCAGACTTTTAAAGATATATTATTGCATGCCAGGCTCGAAATTTATTAATGTTTAATGGATTTAAAAATATATAGACTAAGTCGACTATATAATGTAATCATTAACAAATAAAATGCTGTAGGCTACTGTAGGCAATGTAGGCGATAGAGTACAGTCTTTAGTATAGTATTAGTATAGTCATAGCAACTGTACTTAGTTTAACTTAGGCTTAGTCTAGTTGTGCCCTATACGCCTACATTAATAGTTCTACAAAAAAATAAGCACCAATTTTAATGGATAAATCAAATGACAGTCAAATAGAAAATGAAACTACATGAAGGCTAACTAAGGAATAATTGATGATAAGATAACAATAACAAAGACGTAAACATGTTGAGTTTGTTTGCAGCTCTACACATTTTGGTAAAGTTTATAATAAGAATTTGGCAATTTTAAATGTATTATGATAAAAGTTACACAAACGTTGTATTTAAAAAAAAATGAGATGAAATACACAATGTTACTGCGATAAATTACGTTTAAAAAAGTTCACCAATATTAGATTTACCAACTTTTTAAGTAAAACTGACAAAATCGGGAATTTTCTTTTATAATTGGAAGTTCCAGGAAACCATTTTATCCATTCGCAATCAGGGCTGCCACTCACTTTTTTTAAATTTCCCAAGATTCGGTCATGAAATTTCCCAAGATTTCCCAAGATCATAAAGGATATAAGAGTTTTTTTTAAAGGTGGGGGAGGGGTGGGGGGGGAGAGTTCCTGTGTCCTTTATGTAATACTAGATTGAATTAATGCCCCTGAAACATATGGTACAATAATTGACTGAAATTTATTGAAAAAGACATTTTTAAAAAATGTTTATCCCATAAAAGAAATAAACATTTTTTGTTTTAAAAAAATTATTTACATTATTTTATTATCCAAAATATCAATACCCACTGGAGTTAGGCTACTAAATGTTACCTCCAAATTCCCTGGTAAAAATAACATCTACAATCCACGTGTAATAGAAGTCACTTGGAAACATAGCTCACAAGGCTAAACAACACACAATTCCTTTAACAAAGGCAAAAGGCTCTTCATACAAAAATAAAATGTGTTTTCTTATTGCAAGTCTGTTGATTAGTAATGGGGTTTGCAAAGCTATTTTAAGCAAAAGGTGTTAATAACAATTGTAGCTAAAATAGATTGACAGTATTATGAAAGCAATAAGTATTTTTATGTTTTATTTTAAATTTACATTATAATGATTTTTTTTTCAAACGAAATACTGTTTAAAGGAATTTTTCATTTAATTTTTTTTTAATATCTTAGTTACCTGTGTGTCAATCCACAAATATTTTTTTCCAATAGATGAAAATTAGGCTAGATTTTTTAAAGATGCATAATATTTTGAACACATTGATAAGTAATTGAATAATCCAATTTTACTATGGGTTCTTCATAGAACACTGTCATTCATTCTTTGGTTTGTACTGTTTTTTTATATGGTTGCTAATGTCTTATACGCATGATAAAGTTTCCGAGCCTACCGCCCCCCCCCTCCCCGTTTAATAAACATTTAAAACCTGGATGTAATTTGCAAATCTTCAACTAAAAAAAAAGAGAAAATTAATTTTTTCTTTAATTATTAACTTGTTATTAATTTACAATATTAACTTTAATTTCAGAAGAGTTCTTATTTATTTAGATATGGTTTTAAAAATTAAAACCAGAAAGGAAAATTTAAAAAAATTATTTTTTGCCTTGTTACTTTAAAAATTAGTTTGCTTTATTTTTACTTCATTTTTTTTTATCAGGTATATTGTTTGCGTTTTCGAAAAATTTAATAAAATCTTCCCCCACAGTTAAGATTTCCCAAGGTTTTGCCAGATTTTCAAAATTATTCCCCAGATCCCAAGGGGGGTCGTGAATTCCCAAGATCTTGGGAAATTTCCCAAGGTGTGGTAGCCCTGTTCGCAATATCTTATAATTAATTATTGCTTGATTTATGGGGATGAGGATTTTCTGAAGATAAAAAAGTTTTTTTGTTTTTTTTAAAGCGTCAAAGATTTTTAAACATATTTTTGTACATGAACAAACATATAATTTTGCATAAAATCATCTTGTCAGCCTCCGTGTATTTGGTTTAAGTAATCATGAAACAATATCATATTGAATCATAATTAATGATTGGCTGATTGTGGATTTGGAGGTCTTTGTGTTATAAAAACAGGGGGAACTATATTACTTTACGCTATTCCTTCAAATCATGTTACAATCACTCTGTCCCTCTATCTTTCATTATATTCCTTTCATTTTATTTTCCTTTCCAACAAAATATTTCTAATTTTTTTTTTTAAATATGTATTTTAAAAAATTAAACAAAACGTTAAATTAAATACTTTTAATTTGATGAGTTATCCTTTTTTTAAAAAGAAATATACCATTATTTTAAGAGAAAATTTAAAATGTGTTTGTTTCAATTAACAATAACTTTTTTTCTTTATTGTAGAAATTCAATACCAATATAAGTTTAAAGATTTTTGGAAACTAAATTTTAAAGTTGTTTATGCCTTAAAAGGTTGTTTTTTTCTTTATCCGATATCGCCCTTTCATACGATGGGTAATATTAGTCATATATAGCTTCCTTTATTATTGTAGTGGCCTACCTTGGGTTAATGCCACCCCGGGGCGTGCAACACTTTTTGCAAATCAATCCCCTTCCATGAAAGTTCGTCTCTCCATGTAAAGAAGAAAAAAAAAAAACGACCGCTCGTGTTGCACCCTATTTCTGGTTCTGGTTCTGGTAGTGTTCGTTGCTGCATCCAAATACTGGCCTCTGTGCAATGGTAAAGCCACTGCCTTATTTGTATTAGCAATACAGTACGCATCAATCATATTAAGGTTTTAATAAATGTAACTCAGACTGATCGTTTCAAGAATAGTACTGCATTGCCTATTGTTTTAAAGATAAATGTTACTGTTGATCTTAAATCTACGAAAAGCAATGAGTATTATGCCATATAAACTGAGATGGAATGGTCTGTACACAGATAGACGTATGTCAATATATAATGCAAAGTCTACAGGGGCGGCTACCAAAAGACAACCCTTGAATGATGACCCGGCCCCTCCTCCAGCCCCATGCATCAAAATCAATTTGAACTGCCTGACCCTGTAAACGTAAGATGGCGTCAATACAATAACACGGGCGAGTCTTCGGTCAGCTGAGTGCCCGTAGATTGATATGAACGGTCCAGAAACTAATCGAATATTGTTCAATATTTTCTTGATCAACTAAGCGTCATTTAAATTAAATACATAAAATACATCAGCAACGCATGACTTTATAAAGCTATGATTTAATTAATTTGTAGTCTAACTAAGAATGACGTTGTTTTTCCTTCATTTTTAATGAACACCATTCTAATAATTACTCTGTTTAACATGCAAATTATTTGTGTCATTACTGTTTTCAAGACACATATTAAACAAGTATTTTTTAATATGATTACCTATTGTGTATGCTTGTTATTTTTTACCTTGTCATTTTATTTATTTTTGGTAGAATATTGCATTTTAAATTTAACCCACTTCCTTGAATATACTAAGAAACACATTCTTACACTTACCCACCTCCGATCACAATAAAATATTTCATACGATTGATTGATTGAATACTTTTATAGCGCTTGTATCCGTCCTATTAAAGCCTGCGCATAGCGCTCTGATGTCTGATCGTAGGTCACCTGTTACCTCCACTTACTTACTCCTTAAGTGACCTATGCATGTCATTTATTGCAACTTAATTTTCTGATGTGCAAAGGGGTTAAAACTGTGTACATTTAACCACCTCCGAGGAAAATTAAAGCATATTACGATCAGTAGGTCACCAGTGACCTCAACTTACCATTAAGTGACGTCAATATTTCATCTCAGTTTTAAACCATTTACTGGTGTTCATTTGAGCTTAAATTCTGAAACGACTACACCTCCCCTCCCACCCCCCCCCCCCCCCCCCCCCCCCCCCCCTCCACCCCCCCGCCCCCCCCCCCCCCCCCCCCCATTTAAAAAAAAGTTACCAAAAATCTTCCTGATTAATATGTCATCAGTGACCTCCTTTTACCACATTAGAGCCTCTATATGTAATCTTAATTTTGAACCACGTCAACATCTCCAGTTAAGCTTATGATGACTAGGTTAACAGTGACCGCCACTGAAACTTGAGTAACCTCCATCTTGTCACTTCTTTCCCGATGACGATCAACTATCAAACACATTGTTTCCTTCTTTAACGTGATTCTGTTCTCTAACGTGACTGTATTTCACTGGTGCCACTCGCTTTTTAAATCACAGATTTCAGGTTCGACCCACTTTTTTTATTTCCTATTACAACTTCAAAAGAGTAAAAATTATAAAATTTCCCCCAAAACTTCAGAGCTTTTACAGACATGTAACTTGATTTTTTTTTTTAAAGCGTTCTAAGCCCATGGTATAAAGAAATGTCGTATGACATGACAAAGACAATGTTGGACTCATGCATACGTTTGCATTGCTGCAATTAAGTGTGATAAGACACATTTGTCATAAGACTAGTTATTCATAAAAAAGGAGATCTCACAACTGCCTTCCAGGACGGTTGTATGCTCCCATCGATGGTGATCTTGACAAGTGAAAGGAAATTAACGATACCGCTGCGCGCATGTCCATGTGATTTGCTAAGAAATTGATTTCATGGAGTCCAAAGCTTTTGTTATTATTTGACTGTAGATCTCTCAAAGTTTTGCAGGACAATTAT